CATGATGAAATAAAAATTAAAAAATAATAATAAAAATAAAAGAGGCAACTGTTAATTCTAGACAAAAAAATATATATACAAGAAAATAAATGATTGCAGTCTAACAATGAACAATATTTAGAGTTTAATTAAGTTCTGGAACCAAATATATTATTGCAATAGAAAGGCTGAGTAAAGGAAAGTAGATGTGGAAGTAAGTTACATGACAACGCTACATCCTCATCTTCTATCAGGAGGAAGTCGGTGATGTCTAAACTTATAAATCTGGATATAACCAAGAGGATCAGAAGCGCTTAAAGAACTGAAAGTGGGAACCTCTAAGTAACAGTCCTGGGAAAAGAGTTCTGACTGTAGTTAGAGGCTTTTTGGTACTATTTGACTTTTTAAGCTATATGCTATTACTTTGAAAAAATAATTTAAGATAACGAAAAATAGCCTCAATTAAGTAACAAATGATAGCTACAAGTGAGTTCCCCTGTAGTTCATGTGAGAGGAGAGATCCCTGAGAAGCTATGAAAATACATGGGGAGGAAAAATGAAAGAAAAATGAAAGAAAACCTTTGGCTTGAAATATAGAAACAGACTATATATATATAGCAGAAACCCAAATAACCTTCAGCTGTGAAAAGCTGACCAAAAACAAGATAGCAGATCAAACACACACCCCCAAATCCATTGTAAATATGAAACAGATGCTGCCATGACAATAAAGCTAATGGGTAGCATTTTCACCGAAAGAGCTAAATTAGATAGATGAATTTTTATGACTGGTGCTTGGTTCTGAAATATATAAAATAAGGATTTTGGTGTCTACTTCTGACTGGTTCATGATCTAAAAATTAAGAATCATCCTAGAAAAAGAGGTCTCCCCTAAAGTGGATTTATATCACAATCATCATATTTAAAGACTTGATTAGAAACTGTTCTCTAGATGTACACAGTATGTAACCTTGGTTATTATAGCTCATTAACCTGTCTGTTCAGTAAAAATGCCATTCTTCCAACAAATGCATTCATTTTCTTGAAGATCTTTTATGTTCACAACATCCTTATCACATAAGTGCGTGACAGAGATTATTCCCACTCTTCTTCCAGGGAGTTTTTCCCACAATGTCATTCTACTACATCTCTATTCTTACCCCCAAGCATAGCCTGTTGAAACTGTCTCTTAACATAATATGTAACTCTTTATTTTATACAGACTCAGCATGAATTAAGTCTCCAAATCACCAATACCACCACTTCCTGTAACTCTGGGCAAGACACACTCCCATCAAAAGTCAAGAGAATGCTGACAGAAACAAAGACCTCAGCTTTTACTGAGCTGAGAACAGTACCAACTGGTAAAAATACAATGAATAGACGAGAAATTTTAAGTTTCTATCTTCTGAAACTATAATACTGGTAATAAACCTATAATAAAACCAATTTTATAGGTAATAAACCTATAATAAAACCAATTTTCTAACCAAAATTCACTTAGTTTTACCATGTGACACAGCGATTCCACTCCTGGGTTAACTATCCCAGAGAAATTAAATTTATGTTCACATAAAAAAACCTGGTCAGGAATGCTTACCAGTTCTATTCATAATTGCCAAACACTGGAAACAACGCAAATGTCCTTCAGCGGGAGAGGTGATACAAACTATGGTCCCGCCATCACAATGAAATACTACTCAGCAATAAAAAGGAACAAACTAGCTATATAGGCGAGAAATGAAACTGTGGGGAAGGACAGACAGGTAGTTGGGGGAAGTCGTGCTGGAGAACAGCCCACCATAAAGGGACCATGGGGAGTTTCTGAAGGAGTGAGACTTCTCTGTCCTGATTATGGTGGTAGTAATGTGAGTCTATACTATAGATGTATTAAAATTCATAGACCTGTAAATCAAAAGAAAAAAATGTATACTTAAAAAAAATAATAATATAAATTTGCTTAATCTAAAATGGTGTCCAAAATGAGAGTGAGGTCAAAAGGTGCTCAGATACAAGATGCTACACAAATGTTATATACTTCCCACATGTTCACAACAGCTAAGGAAAAACATCTCATTCGCATTGCAATAAAAGTTATAAAATACCTTGGAATGAGCTTAAGAATTATGCAAAACCCAGGTGAAGAAAATTACAAACCCTGAAAACAAAACTGAGACACATTTCATAATTCCAGACAGAAAGATTCAGTATCATTAAAATAGAAATCTTCTCCAAAATAAGTTTATAAATTCAATTAATTCTAATCAAAATTCCAGCAAGACTGTTTTTATAACATGGAAACTTGATCCTAAAATTCATCTGGCAGCGTAAACAGCAAAACGAGCTATGAAACTTTTGAAAAATAAGAATAATCAGCAAAGGAGTCCCCCGACTTCAAATAACCGAAATATACAATCGAAAGCTGCAGTGATAAAAACACCACAGTATACGTACAAGACTAAATGAATAAATCAGAGAAACAAAAGGAGACCTGGGAATTTAATGTGATAAAACAGTTATCTTCAATCAGGAGGAAAGAACCGCTGATCCTGGGACAAGCAGTTATCCATGTGAAAAACGTTAGATCCCTACACCTCATATTAATCCCCCAAATATACATCAAATGAATCAAACATCCAAATGTGAGCCATAGGAGTATCTGAAGGAAATACAGAAAGGCTTTTAAAATCTTGGGACAAAATAAACCTTTCTTAACAAGACATGAAACCCAGACAGATCGCAATGATGTCTGAATCACATCAAGGGCTTAAGTCACTAAGATGTAAAAGAAAAAAAAAAAGGCAAATGGGTAAAGGATATTATATAAACAGGAAATTATTTTAAAAAGAATGACAAAAATATATGAAAATATCATCAATCTCAGTAGTTATCAGGAAAAAGAGAGCTTTTTTAAAATACAATTTTTTGTCCATCAGACAGACGAACATAATCCACACAGTGCTAGCAATAGTGTAGGAAAATGGACACCCTTATTCGTTGTGGTAGGTTAATAAAAGTAATATGACATCTTCTCAAAACCAATTTAAAAGTACCTATTGCAGTGTTAAATAAAATATCCATCCCCTTTGACCCAGGATTCCCACTGCTAGGGATCTATTCTACAAAAACACTCTTAACAAGAACACAGAGAGAGTTATGTTAAAGAATGTTCACTGCAGATGTTTGTAATAACAAAAAATCAGAAACCAGCCAATGCCTAACAGGGGATAAACTATGGCACCAGTACACAATGAAAGACAACGTTCATTAAACAGAATGTGTCGGATCTATGAGCTCTAAGATCCAGACATGGTCAAGTACATTACTAAGAAAAATTGCCATTATGTCCCGTGAATCTCTTTTTGTTAAAATAAACAAGAAGTTAATGTCTATAAAAAACTGGGAGTCAAACTGCTGAAGGAGATTTTTTTGAGGAGAGACATTTCAAGGAACTTTTACTTTCTACATAATAAATTTCTATGTTTACATTTTACATTATTCTGGGTAACATCTACAATAGGGAAAAAGGGAATAAAATGGTTTTGCTCAATTAAAAAAAAAAACCCTGAAAAAAAATAAATTTAGCCATTATCTTGTCAGATTCAAGCATTTCTGGAGAAAGAACCTATTAGACTTATCTACACAGTGGGCCAGACTCCAGACATGTAAGTTAAGTGAAAGGGGAGAGGGTCTGCCCGTCCCCCCGACTCTCACTCACCATCTCTGCCCACACAAGGAGACTGGCGCAGCAATCGCCAGGACTGGTGGAAACCAAACTCAGAGGTTTTGCTCTTTATTTCGAAAAGCTTTGATTAATGACGAAAAGAAAAGCTCTACCCGCTCGTGCTGTTTATTGATTCCAAAAGCGGTCTAGGCATCTCAACAAGAAGTCCTAACAGAGATTTGTCACTAAAGCTGAGATGAACTTTGAAAAGGCAAATTTACAGTTATGGCCTGTACTTAAGATTCCAACCTAGCGTAGACCAGCGCTTCCCAACCTTCAGGTTCCAGCACACACAGAAAATGAGACTAGCTGTGGGCACACTGCAGTACACAAAGGGGGCCCGCTGGCAGCGATGCCTGGCCCAGGTCCCGCTCCAGCGGCCCCAGGCATGGTGGGCTGCAGGCATCGGCACCATGCACACCTGAAACGCCGTCTCGGCGCACGTGTCAGGCGGCTCCAGCACAGAGAAAGCACTCCTTTAAAAAGCTTCCTTCAAAAATATCATGACATTCATTCAACAACACTTAGTACCTAAGGTGCAGAGTAGAGGAGGCGGGCAGGTAAACGAGCATTCCAACGAATGTCAAACGAGCTACCTAGGGAAATATCAGGAATTTTAACACGAGTCCCATGCCTAGAGAAAGGGAGGCTGTCAACGACCTCTTCCCAGAGGAAATGATCCCAACGCAAAAGGGTGAAAAAGTATTTCAGGCAGAGGAACAGGTACAAAGACCTAAATGCAAGAAGCTACGTGGAAGCAGCAAAACGGGTTCTGTATTGCACAGGCAGACGTGAGGGGGGAATTAATTTGATAGGTTTGATGGAAGTGTTTTTGATAAATATGCACTGCGGTTGAGCAGAAAGCCAGTAACACAAAAACCAGGAAAACATGTGCCTTCCTCCATAATAACCTATTAAACATAAGCTACAAGTAAAGTATTTGGGAAGATGAAAAATTTCTCGAGGGTAAAAAGACAGTGCTATTGATTTGCAAGTACCATAAGCTCATACATGAATTTTAAAACAATTTTTATTATGATGACAGATATTTGCTACTAAAAAAGAACAAAACACTACCATTTTTAAAGGCAAAGATTATTCACTCAATATATTTACAACATTTAAAGAAATGGAAAAGCCAAACAACTCCTAGACGATTATTAAATTTCTTTTCTTAAAAAAATGTTTAATTAGTTTAGAAAGAAGTCTAAATGTATACATTCTCTTCCTCTCTCTCTCACGTGGAACTAAACAGAGCAAGTGTCATTAATAGAAATTAAGCATAATTTCTATTTACCTCTCTGCCTGTAAGGATGTGTCTTGCCAATTTCACTTTTGCGAAATTCCCTTTGCCGATTGTTTTCAACAGTCTGTAGTTTCCGATGTGAGGCTGTTCGTCCGCACAGGAAGCAATGGAGTTTCTACACCGAGCCCCAGAGCGCCCGGAACGAGAGGTCACTTCTTGCCGCCCATCTCCATGTGACGTGTGCTACAATGCAACGTACAACAAACGTAAGAAAATGAGAGAACACACGGTACCTACCAAGTTTTAAGAGCCTCTAGTTGAAGAAACAAAACATTGATGCTTTAATTTTAATCCTAATGCATCTCACACTTTGAAGGAATTTGCCCGCATAGTATAATAAGGAAAATAATGCTGAGAAGAAAAAAGTCAAGTGTTGAAGTTCAACTGCTGATCGGAAAGAGATTTTCTATATGTGACTGTAACATAAAATAGGCACAACGGGACTGCCTTACAGTCGTGAAGAACTTAACCTTTCGTATGCTATGAAATGCACCGCACACGTGATCCTTACACCGCACCCCGTGAAACACGCACAACAAACATCACCATCACCAGATGAATATGCTTCTGTGATTTATGCTCGGCCACATCACTAGTGAGAAATCCAGAATCTGGATTCCCAATTTCTTCTACACTATGCTGCTAACAATTCAAAATAATGTGTTCAAAATAACAACCAGACTGTGTGGCCCTTGACAAATCTGTGTTGAATAGACGAATAAAATACTCAATATGCTCTATAAAGATAAAATAAATCATATGTGCCTCTAACCATATTAAATATAAAAGTACTAGAGTTAAACGCCTGTAAAAGTCTGTATGTCCAGGTACCCATTTGTCTTGTGCCCTGAGCCCCACAGATGCCACACGCCACTGCCTACCTTTCAAGGCAGCTAACTCCCGCTCGGGGAAGGCTTCTCACACTTACTCTCTCACACTTTCAGCCCTCTTCATTATTCTCTTTTCTAACTTCTTGTCCAGTAAAATGTCCCTTCTTCCTAGTGCTCTCTCTCTACTTGTCAAAACAAGTCTGATCCTAGCTGATAAGCATTAAGAAATTACTTTGTAATATATTCATATGAAGCGAAAAGGAAAAACAAGCATTTTAAACTGAAAGCTTAAGAATTTGTGCCAGCAACCCCTGATGTCCTCTAAAGATGTCCTTTCAAATTGCCATGTTAATCTCCATTTACTTTCTCAAATTCTATTTTCCCTTGATGGACCAAGTTTTCAGACAGATTCTCTTCAATTATCACGTAAATACTGCATTACAAACAATGATTTCTGTTTTTATAGTAAATGTATACTTTAAGTAAAACAGGATTTTACAACTAGTTACAAACCCAAGCAACTCGTAACATTGTTCTTATAACAATTTCCAAATTAGAATTTAGGGAAAACAGCCTATTTAGAAATGAGGTCTTGTTGATCAAAGAAAAGATTAAAATGACAACTAAGTTATGACCCTAAGGCTTTACACAAAACAGATACACTCTATTGTACCCAAGACATGTGCAGCTATAATGCAAATTTTGTAGATCAGCTGGAGTATGGTTTTAAAAGAACTTAAATGACCATGTTTATTTTTAAACTAGATTTAAGTTTAATGAAAACAGGACAGTAATTTATTGTTCCTTAGATCTTAGAACAGTAGTTGGCACATAACTGATATTTAATAAATATTAGAATGACTAAGTGATATCAAAATACGAATCACTGTAGTGTTCAGGTGGTTAAATTATGAGAAATTTTTCTAACTTTCGAATTCCTTCTATTCATTCATTCAAATATTTACCAAGTGATAATACGTGATAAATTTTATATAAATATGTGCCAGGCACTGTTTTGGGTGTTGGAAAGGCAGCAGTGCATAAAACAAAGTCCCTATTCCCATGAGGTATGTGTCCAGTGGTTTTATGCTTATGCAATATAAATATGGTCATCAAAATTATACTACTATCCAAAATTCTAGTTAAAAATAGCTTTTGTAATATAAACATATATTTTCTAATTTACATGTTTTGTAAATTCAGCTTTTCATGTATTATGTTTTCAAGAGTGAGGCACAGTTAAATAGAGAAAATATTAACTTTTGTGTAAATCAACTGTCTTGTTTCATGTAAAATGGAAATATTCGAAGAATCTCCAGATTCATGGACATCCAGAGTTCATACCATTGCTTACTCCCAATCTACTTATAAAAAACTCCTTAGCATTACATCACTTTTTTTTTCAGCAGGATGAGGATTTCTGTCTGTTTTGTTCATTACCAGATAGTCTCAGAACTTGGAAGAGTGCCTGGCAGGTAGTAGCCGTGCAATACATTGTTGCTGGATGCATGTTAAATGTATTCGAGGCCCTCTCTGATCTAATCCATTCCTCTTCTCTTGCTTTATCGTCCACTATTCCCCAGCATGATTCTGTTTCCCTCGGTTTGAGAGCTCTTTCTTCTCTTCAAACCTAAGAAAACCCTATTCATTCCCTTATGTTTGGATCATCTGTCACCATCTTCATGAAGCCTTCCATGACTTCCTGCATCCCAGCAGAATTACTATCTTTTCCTTTGGGCTCCCAAGGTACTCTGTGTGTTTCCATCTCTATTAAGCTACCTTGTTGACAATACTATTGGCCATCAGATTGGCTCCTGGGCTTCTGAGTTCCTGGAAGATCATACTGCCTTGTAGGAACTCATTCCCCTCACTGGCGGGTAGGCATAGCAATGTGACTAACTTTGGCCAATGAGATAGATACAAGAGAAAGTGACATGTCATTCCCATACTGAAGCACTTAACTGCCAGTGCTGACCTCCAGCCCTGTCTTCTGCTCTCCTGAATCCTGACCACTGTCCAAAGTCAGAGGGCCACAGGACCAAATCAGCCCAGACAAGATCGGTCTTCATGGAGCCAATAAATATGTCCTCAGGCAGACTTTGCGTGAACAAGGGTTTGTTTTTTTTTAACCATGTTAAAGCACTAAGATTTTGGTCACATATATTACCACAGTATACCCTCACCTAACACAACACATACTCACGAAAATAAACAATCATAATACAAAGAAGAAATCTGTCTTTCCTCATTAAATTATAAATTCACACAACAGATTGAAATATGTTTATTAAATTCCAACAGGATTAAATTTAGTATATTTAGTTTGATATTTCTTACACAAAATCCTTAAATTTAAAAATCTAACGTGTTTAACTTTAAAACGTCTCTCAAAACAGAATCAAATTAAATTGCCTTTTGCTTCTAGTTGGCCTTCATTTTTTCCCCATGTACCCACTGGTGGCCCTAAAGAAAGTTTCCTATTAATATATCATAGCAATGCGAATACTAAACATTTTAACAAATAAATTACTTATTAGTCAATTACTTCATGCATGGAATTTTTTTCCTAAGGAGCCAGTAAACAAGAGAGGACCAAAAAATAGTTAATTCTTCCTTAGTAATTTTTCACAGCATTTTGTGGCAGCACTAAGCACACAGCAGGTACTCAAGAGCTGTTGAATTTACGTCTTATAGATTAAATGAGTGCTGATCCTTCTCCCTCCCATGGAACTGAGCTGATACCACGTCATTCAGCCCGAAAACTGGAATATGTGCACTGCTACTGAAAACAAGGCAGAATCGAGCCAAAAACAAGAGATTAACAAATTCATAAAGCATTCAATTTCAAACTAAAACCTCTCTTTAATGCAAAACATTTAGGCTGCCTGGTAATATTAGGGCATTGAACAAACACTGTATTTATCTACTCAATATTCGTTCCTTCCATCTTTATTCCAAGAGAAGCTGAATGTGTTTGGGGAGGCAACATGGTCAGCTAAATTCTTGTTTTCTCGAACTTCCCTGCAGCTAGAAGTAGCATATGGCTTAGTTCTGGCCAGTTCTCCTTAGTCAAAGTCTACAGGAGGGTTCTGGGAAAACTTTTTGTTTCTCATAAAGGGAGACAGATACACTAGTAACATCCTCTTCCTCCTCTCTCCTGCCTTGAATGCAACCATAGTAGCTGAAGCAGTATAAGCTATCCTATAGCTATAATGCCTTGAAAATGAGAGAAAAGACAAAAATATTTTTAAAAACCACCAGGTCCAATATTATTGAACTACTGAACCAAAGCTAGAAGCTGCCTAGATTTCTTTTGTGAGAAAAACAAACCCCTATTTGGTTAAGCCATCTGTTAGGTTTTGTCACTGTCAGCCAAAGCACTGTTACAGGGGCCACGGCTACAGCAATACTAATGTTAAGAAATAATAAGAAAATGGATGAGGAATACACTCCATTTTATGTTATATGTATTAGTTTTTAAAATTTTGTTCATATATAAAGAGCCACAGAAGATAAATTATCATATAACCAGAAGGCACAAACGAGAATATACCTGAGAGAGAGAAGAATATACCTTAGAGAGAGAGAGAGAGAGAGAGAGAGAGAGAGAGAGAGAGAGACACACACACACACACACACACACACACACAATTTACATACTATGGTTTCAGGTTTGCCCTTATATCTACCTGGTAAAGCAACAACTTGAAATTTAAAAAACTTACTTAAGAAATCAAGTTTAAAAGTTTACAACTTGACACTGTTTCAACTCTGCCTGAACAGAGCTTGGTCCCTTTTGTAAAACACAAGACGTATACCCACACATCCTTTCTAATCCTTAAAATAACCAGCCACCCCCTTACATAATGGGCAGGTTTGTTCAAATGTAAAAAAAAAATCTACACAGCTAAATTGTGACAATAAAAGACTATTCTTCAAGTATTTTGTAATTTAGAGATATTAATAAATCAGTTTTCACTTTTGAAAGCAGCTGGGCAATTATTTCATTCACTGAGAAAAAATATTTGATTAAGACTGAACAACTGCGATTTTAAAACTTTTAGCAAACTAGGAAATGAACTTCCTTAATTTGATTAAAATCACAGACCGAAAATCTTCAGTAAATATATTAAGTGAAGAAACTGGAATCATTTAAGATCAGAAACAAGATGAAGCTGCCTATTTTCACTATCATTATTTAACATAATACTGGTGCCTTTAAGCAAAGAGAAAGTTTTAAGATGTAACAATCAAAACGGAAGAGATAAAAATGTCGTTATTTGTAGATGATATGATCTACCTACAAACCAACAGAATCAGAAATACCGCTGGAACTCAAGAGAGTGTTTGGCAAGGTGTAAGATCAACCTATGACATTCCTCTACACCAGCAGTAACCTACCACAAAATTTAATTTAAAATAACCATTCTTAACATAGTCCCCTTATCCACGGTTTCACTTTCTGCAGTTTCAGTTACCCGTGGTCCAAAAATACTATATGAAAAATTCCAGAAATAATTCATAAGTCTTAAACTGTGCACCAGTCTGAGTAGCATGATGAAATCCTACGCCACCCCCGCGTCATTCTGCCCGAGATGTGAATCATCTTTGTCCAGCGCATCCACCCTGTCTATGCTACCAGCCTTGTAAGTAGCTGTCTCCGTTATCAGACCAACCGCTGCAGATCACGGTGCTTGTGTTCACGCAACTCTGATCCCTGTGAACACACGAACGGAAGTGAAACGGCCTTACTGCTGACAGAAGAAGTTTCACTGGTCTGGATAAAAGATTGAACCAGCCACAACATCCCTTTATGCCAAACCCAATCCAGAGCAAGTTCCTAACTCTCTTCAATTCGATGAAGGCTGAGAGGTGAGGAGGCTGCAGAAGAAAAGTCTGAAGTTGGCAAAGGCTGGTTCACGAGGTTTAAGGAACGAAGCCATCTCCATAACATAAAAGTGCAAAGTGAAGCACCAAGGGCTGATGTAGAAGCTGTAGCAAGTTATCACCAAGATCATTTAAAAAGGAGCTACTCTAAACAACAGATTTTCAATGTAGATGAAGCAGCCTTCTATTGGAAGAGGATGCCATCTTGAACTTTCATAGCTAGAGAGAAGTCAATGCCTGACTTCAAAGCTTCAAAGGACAGGATGATTCTGTTAGGAGCTCACGCAGCTGGTGACTTTACGTCGAAGACAATGTTCACTTACTATTCCAAAAATACTAGGGCCTGTGCTCTGCCTGTGCTCTATAAATGAAAGAACAAAGACGGATAACAGCATGTCTGTTTACAACATAGTTTACTGAATATTTTAAGCCCTTTAAGACCTCCTGCTCAGAAAAAAGAACCCTTTCAAAATATTACTGCTCACTGACAACCCACCTGGTCACCCAAGAGCTCTGATGGAGATGGATGTGAGATTAACGTTGTTTTCATGCCTGCAAACACAACATCCAATCTGCAGTCCATGGATCAAATAGTAATTTCTACTCTGAAGTGTTATTATTTAAAAAAAACATCCTGGAAGGCTAAAGCTGCCATAGATAGTGATTCCTGTGATGGATCTGGGCAAAGCAAATTGCAAAGCTGCTGGAAAGGCTCCACCATGCTAGATGCCATTAAGAACATTCATGACTCACAGGAAGAGGTCAAAATATCAACATTACCAGGAGTCTAAAAGAAGTTGATTCCAACCCTCATGGATGACTCTGAGAGGTTCAAGACTTCAGTGGAGGAACTACAGATGTGGTGGAAACAGCAAGAGAACCAGAATTAGAGCATGACGATGTGACCGAACTGCTGTAATCTCATGGTAAAACACTAACGCGTACGGAGCTTCTTATGGATAAGCAAAGAAAGTGGTCTCGTGAGATGGAATCTACTCCTAGTGGAGATGCTGTGAAGACTGTTGAAATGACAACAAAAGATTTAGAATAAATAAATTTAGTTGATAAAGCAGTGGCAGGGTTTGAGAGAGCTGACTCCAATTCTGAAAGAAATTCTACTGTGGGTAAAATGCTATTAAACAGCGCTGCGTGCTGCAGAGAAATCATTTGTGAAAGAAGAGTCAGTCAATGTGTCAAACTTCATCTTAATTTTAAGAAACTGCCACAACCACCTCGACCTTCAGCAACTACCACTCTGATCAGTCAGCAGCCGTCGACACTGAGACAAGACCCTCTACTAGCAAAAAGATTACAACTTACTGAAGGTTAAGATGATGATTAACAATTTTTAGCAATAAAGTATTTTTTAATTAAGGCACACTTAATAGACTACAGTGCCATGTAAACATAACTTTTATATGCACTGGGAAACCAAAAAATGTGTGTGACTTGCTCTATTGCGGTATGTGCTTTATTATGGAGGTCTGGATGGAAGCTACAGTATTCTCTGAGATCTGCATGTACAGTACCATAAGATATTATATGAGTGAGTGAGAGAGAGAGAGAGAGAGAGAGAGACCACATTCACATAACTTTTATTACAGTAGACAGCTGGCTCAGTCAGTCTTCTATTCGTGGGTTCAACCAATCACAGATCGAAAATATTCAAAAAAATAAAAGTAAAAATGTTACGTTGCTGCTGACGTGTATTATGTAGCTAGGTCAAGTTAACAAGGAGGTATCACACTTACACCTATTAGGCTGGCAAATTTAGAAAGCTGCATAGCCTACAGCCATGCCACCCTGAACATGCCTGATCCCATCTGATCTCAGAAGCTAAGCAGGGTTGGGCCTGATTAGTACTTGGATGGGAGACCACCTAGGAAGACCAGGTGCTGTAGGCATAAAAAAAAAAAGAAAAGAAAAGAAAGAAAGAAAAAAGCTGGATAATGCTA